ATTCCAATCGCATCAATTGAATCGGAAAGGGCATTCTCGGTAGCAAGACTTTTCATTACTAAAATAAGAATTAGAGTGAGTGATCGGAGTATTGATCACCTTTGCTTTTTAAAATCTTTTATAAGATTTTAAAAAGCAAAGTTGATCAAAAGTTTACAATATTTTGTATTATATTTTATTTAAAAAACGAAAATTACCTTCTAAGTTATAAGTTTGATATGAGTTCAATTTTTCATTTTTAACTCAATTCAAAGCATTTTTGTTGTTGTTGTATGCAGTTTCTAGCGAACTTTAATAAATTTTTTCTATTTGTGCAAATTTCTACGTAATTCAAAGGTAATTTTTATTATATATCTTACACAGCATTATTAATATGATTTTGGATGATACAGAGCTTTAAAATTACTTTAAAAATGAAAAATAATTATATTATTTAATTTCAAGATATTTTGTATACCTTGAAAATAATTGATTCTATCCCGGGATTTCGGGAAACAGTTCACTTTTATCCCAGAGTCCCGGGACAAGCAAAAGACCGGGAAATGAGAAACCCTATCTGCCAATATGGGCTGTAGCTGCCTCATCCCATTCACAAACACTTTTAAAAGAATTATATAAAATATTTCTTATTTCAAATAAACTCACCCACCTTCCTTTTACCCCTAATGCTAATGCTGCTAGATGCAAATTGGAAATTCCCAATTTTATCAAACATATCAAGTACTTTCACCATTTATTTCCATACAACTATTTCTATGATTTCATTCATTCTGATTGGCTGTGCTTAAGAGTTCTGCCACAAGTTATTCTCAACATAATTTTTCTTTATCCCATCTTTTAGGCTTTCCATTTCTTTCAGATCATTTTTTTTTATCAGTCTACTCAGAAAATGGGTTGTGTGGAACAATCTCTACATGAAGATTTTCTACACTTTAAACACATTTGTAGTCAGTTACTTTTTAATATATCATCTATTTTTACTTATATATACTTTTTTTATCATGTGTATTGATTTTTATTCTTTGTTATTTGTATTTTAATCTTTTGTTACAAGAGTTATTTTTGGGGAGAATATCAATTGTCTTGTGATATTTCCTTTTGTATATGCAATAAATAAATAAATAAATAGTTTTTCCAAAAATTTTCAATCAAATAATTTTCCAATTTTCATTTAAGATCATCAGCAATATTCTGCATTTAGTGAAATTATAATACAAAATATATTTTAATTTCATGTTTTCAATATAGCATTTAAAATTTTTCTTACCTCAGCACTGTCAGACATGACTTTCTTTTTCTTCTTCTTCTTTCCTTTCTTTCGTTCACCATCGCCTTTTGTTTTGCGCTTTTTCCCTTTTTCTTTCTTTGGTTTTGGAGGGGTTTCAGGTTCTTCTAATTCTTCTACTTCTTCCTCTTCATCAATTTCATCATCAACATGTGGAACATCTTGTTCTTCAGGCTGTTCAATACTTTGTTCTTCTTCTTCCATTTCTGGTTCTCCTTCGTCTTTTACTTCCATATCTTCTTCCATATCTTCTTGATCATCAGGAATTGTTCCTTCATCTTCTCCATCATCATCAACATCATCACCTTCTCCATCACTTCCTACAAAAAAAGAAAAAAAAAATGTTATTACATCATTTAAATTTAATACAGATATTACAGAAATTTTATATATTATTAATTTTAATATTTATTAAAAAGAAAAAGATTAATACGATAAAGTATTCTTCAGATTATAGATAATTTTACTATTATATACAATTAGAAAGTACATAACTAATTTAAACTGCCTACAATAAAACTATGACTATTATCTTAAAATTCTAAAGAAACCAAGCAATGAGAAGAACTTAATTTTACATCTTTCAAAATGTTTGATCTTTGTTAAAAGTATATAATTTTTTTATGAAATAAATTTACAATATTAGCAAAACTCAGTTTTATGCAAGTTGAAACCCAACTATATTACAAAAAACAAAAACCACATTCAAAAAGAATTTTTTGATATACTCATATATCTTACAACAGGAGATTTTGCTACAAAAGTTTCAAAAATAAAAATTTGTATATACTAGAATTTAAGTTTGGTTTATTTGTATACAGCAACATGACTTGTGAATAATTTGCCAAGGGATAGATGTCTTTCAAAAGGACTTTCTATGGGAAACTGGCCCCTATTTAGATGTTATTAACATGAAAAAACTCAAAACTCCACAGACAGTTCATTGGTGAGGCATGAAGCCACAACCAATCACCAGTGTTTAGTGGTTTTATCCACTTGGCCACTGGCAAGCCTTAAAATTTAAGAAAATATTCTTCAATTATACAATACAGTAAATTCAAGTACACGGTGATTCAAAAGTCACAGAAATTTTAAAAAATTAATAACTCTCAAACTATTTACAACAACATGATGCAGTTTTCACAGAAATGCTTAGAAAGAAGCAGGATTTTTTTAGGTGTAATAAAAATTTTAGTACCAAAATAGTTACCAAAATTTGTGAAAACCTTCATCTTACTGTAAATAGTTCATGAATTATTATTATTTAAAATTCCTGTGACTTTTGAATCATCCTGTATTTCTATTCTTAGTAACTTATAGAAGTAAAAACAAATATCTTCAAAATATTTAATTTTCTTCTTAACTCAAAAATATTGCTATTTGAAACATTTACTAGAATATTGTTTGTTCTGCTTTTATAAATGATTTATGCAGTAATATTTCAAATTATTATAAAAACACACAATACTGTAGNCTTCAGAATAGATTTTTAAGAAATTATTTCGACATCTTATTACTTTCTCCTTTCATAACTATCGAAATGAATAATTTTAAATATTTTATTATTAATATTACATTTTTTTATATCTATAAACAGATTTCTGTAATTATCAAAATTGTCTCTTTTGTTTAACAGTACAATGACTCTGAAATGCATTAACGTTTTATAACCGACACGATACTTGAATTGTAAATAAATGTATCTGATTTAAATTAATTGAATTAATTGAAGTTTTAAGTCTTCACCCATTTGAATATCAAAATTGAAATAATTAAAACAAATTTAAAGTATTTAATTTTGTTGTTTTTGCTCCAAGCAATTAATTAATGAATAATTTTGTTGATTCATACCGTTTACAACATTTATCAAAGGAACAATATCTGTTTTTATCTAAATTCTTCCACGAACAAAGCTACCACTTGAATTGAAAAGCCCTCTAAACCTGCTGTTGAGTGAGTCTACAAAATAGGTCAAATAACTTGTTTCTAATCGATGTCTACATTGTGGCAGACGAGAAACACTGTTTCTGCAATGAAAATTTTCCTGAACAGCAGTCTACCCGATCTGTAAACTGCCGTCGGTCTATAAAATGTTGTCTCTGCAATTGGCTGGCTGCAAGTGTTCAGGGAACAGAACTGCTTGACCACTGGTGGGCTCTGCCAATGACTCTTAGAGGCTTGTGGGAAATCTGTATTACCATACAGAATAGCAGCAAGATGGGTAAAAACCTTCAATGAGGGACATGATAATATGAAAGATAAGTCTCGACCAGGTCATCTCTGTGCAAGTGAAAAACAAGTGAATGCTGTTTTTCCGTGTTATAGATATAGATCACTGTCAAATAATTCATAAGTTAGCTCAAGAGACAGTGTTGTCACAGTCTGTTGAGAATAGTGCTAGTCATTATGAGGAAATGCTTGAGGAAAATTTCGTCATAAGTGCCACGTGCTATGACTGAAATGCAAAAATGGCAATGATATGACTACTTGTACCCACTTTGAACAGTACAGATGTGAAGGAAAAGCTTTCTTAAGGAGGATACACACATGCAGCGCAGCAAAGAAAAGCGATGTCGCAAACACATCTTTGGCACGTGGAAGCACAACCACACAAGTGTCAATCCGCTTACATTTTGGCACACGCATTCAATATTCAAGATGGCAAACAATACATTGCCCCTATCCACGTGTTTACAAATTTTGTTTTGTACAGCTCGCTTTATTTAGCTAGAAGATTTTGTCGAAGATTCAAATGAAGATTTTGGATTAGAGATATTTTCTTGGATGGAGAAAGAACTGGTGTACAAAATACGCTTATTCCTCAATTAAGATCTCTAGATAAAGAATACTATTTCAAGTAAAATTCGGTTGTTTTATTCTTTGAATTGAAATTATATATGATTATTTGTGTAGAATTTGTGTTTAATTTATTATCCATTCTTCTATATTCTGATGTTAGATATCTCAGTTAACCGTGTTGAATTTTCTGCCATTAATTAAAACATCACATGATTGTATTTTTTCATGTGACTACCAGACAAACTGTTATTGGCTGATAGAATTCAACCAACTTTTGCGGCATGGTAAAAGTGGCACAAAATCAACTTCTGCGTCAAGAAAAAGTGATGTCATTCTGACGTCACTTTTTCTTGTTTTTCTTGTCACTTGTTCATTGGTTAAGCAGTTGACTTAGTTAATTTTTTTTTGCATAAGTTGAATAGTCCTTAAATGTGATGTTTTAACTTGTATATTTATTTTAAAAGATAATCAAAGCTAAACAGCTTCTGCTTATATAAAGAAATACCTGGTCATATATAATATCTTGGTCATATATAATATTATATTATATAATATAATACTTGGTCATATAATACATAAAGAAATACATAAGTCAACTGCAAGAAAAAGTGACATCATGTGTGCATCCTCCTTTATGCTGTATTGTTATGCTGGATGAGACATAGGCAAGATTATACAAGCCAGAACTGAAACAGCATTCAAATGAGTGGCAGCATCGCATGTTCACCATGAAATGTTGTCAGAATTCCAGCAAGGTGAAAGCTATGGTTGTTCTTGTTTATGACTGATGATGTTATTCTGATGTATGCTGTACCCTCAAGCCATAATGTAAATATGCAGTAGTGCTTTACATTTTTGGAATACCATCTGCAGTCAGCTTTGAGAAAAAAAGTGGAACACTTTCTACAGAACCCATATATAATTATCTAATACAGTAGACCCCCATAACATGGGTTCATATAACATGGATTCGTATAACATGGCGAAAAAATTGCGATTGTGTTTGTATAACATGCTAAAAGAGACTCATATAATACGGTAAAACATCATCACCGACTCGTGTCGTGACAGGATTGGTCAAATCTAGACCAATAGCGGATATTGTACAAACTGTTGAGTTTAAACAAGCAGCGGACCTACTAAAAACCATTTATTATTTAACATCCATAAAAATTATATTTATATTAATGATGTCTCCAAAGTTAAGCAAATTTTTCGCAGAAAAATAACTTATGAGGAAACAGGCGCCTGCCGTTCGATAAGCCACTCCGCAACAAAAACAAGCTTAAGCAATGGAGTCGTCAAATGGTGCGCACTCATTAAGTATTCCTACAATTTTTCGTTTATAACATAGTTTATATGGATTATTCCGAAAAAATTATACGTGTTTTGGAAACGTTGAGTCAAATTAGTCTAGAATCGATTAATTTTATGGAAGAAAACTTTTCAAACAGCCGTAGTCGCTAAACTGCACACGTGCCGGGCTGTGATTGGCTCATGTATTTAAGTGACTTGTACAACACGGAATACACATAACACACAACGTATCTACCGTGTTATAGAGAGGTCTNAAATTAATTTAAAATTTATCGAATAAGTTAAATTATATTTTTAAAAAATTCTTATAAAATTAATACTTAATAAAGTGTACTTCACTAGCAGCACTATAAACATGAAGCTGGAATCAGATGGATTCCAAAAACGTTTGTGAATTGTAACATTTTACATGTTTTGCCTGAAGCTAAACAGATTTAGTAGTCTGAAGATTCACATTTAAGTTGTTCTCATTTTGTTTTCACTCTGAAGAAACTTGCAATTGCAAACAAAAAATGTAATAAATCTTTATAATTTAATGTTACTGCTAAATATTTATGCAATTTTAGATAAATTATTACTGGCCTATTATTCCAATATTCCTCCAATGCTCCTTTTCTAATCATTGATAAAAATGTGAATATAAAGTATTAAAAGTTCTGATAGTTATTGTTAAAATTGTGTAAAATTCTCTTAATATTTGAATAATTCACAGTTTAAAAACATTTAGGCATTATGCATGAAACTAACAACAAGATCTTAAACATAAAAGTAATAATAATATAAACATTTTAACTAAATTTATGTACAGGGATTATTCCCTTATATGCAAATAAAGTTTGATTGATTGATGATAATATAAACATTGCATTTTTCATAGATAAAATTTAAAGACATTTCAGATTTGCATGAAGATATCTGTGTCACTGATCCAAATTTAAATACACACACACACACATAAAATAGTTAACAGTCACGTAACAGAAGAAATGTAAATAACGAAAAATTTACTAAATACACTTTCATACTAGAATTGTAATAATTATTTTAAAATTAATAATTGTATATAAATATTCCATTTGAACTTATACATAAATATTAAAGAATCTACATTCACACTAAATCACTATATGAACAATTTAAATGAGCAACATTACACTTCATTACTAAATGATAATAAACCCCTTTAATCAGAAGCAATAA